AACGGCGCGGCAGGATCCCACGGATCCCCTGGCCGCGCCGCCTTTCTCCCCGGCACGATCAGACGCCGGGGAGAAAACACAGATCGGACGGCGAGCCAGCTGAACTGCGCATGTCGGAGCATGCGCAGTTCGCCTAGGAGCCAGGGACGTGCCGACGCAAGGATGCGCCAGCGATCAGACTCCCGGTTTGCGGCGCACCATTGGGATGAACGAACCCCGGTAGGTGGTTCCAACTTGGAGTGGTTTATCGCGTGGATGGGCCAGTTTGGGGACGGAAGCACTACGCTTCCCAGATGTTGTTGTGTGATCGCGGCGATTTGCTCCGCCCCCGAACCGTCCCGCTACTGGCCCAAATCCCCTCGTGTGAACGGGACCTTAATACACTACAGTTTTCTGACATGGATTATTTTTTAGAAGCTTAAGGATACCTTGCTTGAGAAACACATAGCAGTCCAAATACTTAAAATAATGTTAATTAAGTGTTTTGAAACTTGCCATGTTATTTGAATGATGCTACAAAAGTCTCCAGCCATCCAGCTAAATTCCACTTGTTCTCTAATGATAACTTTTATTAGTGTAAGTGCTAAAAAATAAAAGAACACAGTTTGAATCCAGAAGCACCTTGAAGACCAACAATTTTTAAATTCAAGGTAAGCTTTCATGTGCACACACACTTCTTCAGATACAATGAAATGTAAATTACCAGTCCATACATATATTTTATTTTATTTTTTTATTTATCATTACATTTCTACCCCGCCCTCCCCGCAAGCTTGCTCAGGGCAGCTTACAATAGGGCAACAAGTGCCTTCACATAAAACAGCATAAAAACAGAATAAAATATCACATCACACGAAAGGAGATCATACGCACGATCCGCTGCGCTGATGGCGCCCGAACCTCCTCCAGCCAACCGAAACATTGGGAAAAGAAACCTCTGCTCTTTGGAGACTTCTTTTTTGGCATAACACATCATGGTGGTTTACTTCTTTCCAAACCTCCAGGTGGAGCCTGGAGACCTCTGGGGGAGGGGGGCCCCTCCAGGCATTTATATAGATGATAAAGAGATAATATATTCATTCTGGACTTTTTTAAAGGCTTAAATGATGGATTCCATCATCAATGATCATTCCCCCAAGTCCTGCTGCAGTTCCAAGAGCTGGCACTACAGTGCATAAATAGAACTGGGGAGTACTTGGTTCAATTCTCAGTCTGATATCACATGAACTCACTGGGTGACATGATTGGCCCATTCACTGCCAAGACATGAAGTGAAAGTGCCTTTGCCAGTCGAGATATGACATCTTAGTGTGAATTATTGACAGTTATTAGGGAGAACCAACAAGCCTGCAAACTATTGTCATTTGAGCAAATGTACACAGGTTATTTTCTAAAGGAATGACTTTACCTAGAGATGAGGGGATTCAGTTATGGAGATATTATTCTGGAAAAAAATGTTCCTCTTGGGTAAAGCATAATGGTAAAGCACATGTTTGCATGCAGAACATCCTGAAGTCAATCTCTGGCTATTACAGTTGAAAAGGATTTCAGGTAGCACTGGTGGGAAATATCTTTCCCTGCCTGGGACCTGGAGTGTTGCTTCTGGTCAGAAGAGAGGATACTGATCTAAGGAAGATCAGTGGTCTTAATTAGTATACGGCAATGTCCTCTGTTTATGAACTAATCTACAAAAGAAGTGAAAAGGTGAGCATTATCAGAAAGGATTTTTCAAAGCCAATGAGAAGCCAGTGTTAAAGGAATTAACATGCGTAAACTGTCTCTGATAATGACAGATCTTCAAGGAATATATGGCATAAGAAAGTATTCTTATACCAGGGCTGTGTTGCTTGTGCAATAGCTTCCAGTTGGGGGTGCCATTTTCATGCCTCCAAAATGTGCTCCAGTTTCACACAGGAGGGCATCTCTCTCTCTCTCTTTTACTTCAGAAGCAAAATTTATAATAATGTAACTGATTTCTATGACTTTGGAATGCTTCTTTGGAGATAACATTGAAAACAGAATACCTGCTTGAAATTATTAGCTATGGATATACCATTTACAAATCTAATATAGACCCTTTATTGTACAAACAAAGGAGTAATTGTTGTCTGCTTCCTTATGCTGGAAGCCTGTGAGGTAGGCAGGCCATCAGTATCGCCATGTTTCAGCAGAAGATGTTGATTTACCCAAGGCCACCCCTTGAATTTCATGTCTGAGGTGAATCCAGTCCAATGTTCCCTCTAAGCTGTGGAGTCCTGTGAGCAAAAATACTACTTTGTGAGCTACTGGAATTAAAGTTGTGAGCGAGCAATTTGGCTACTGCATAAATTAGTTTGCTCTGGAGCCGTCCCTTCCTGAGCTAAGGCAAAAATGTGTGAGCCGGAGGCTTAAAAAACTGTGAGCTAGCTCACACTAACTCAGCTTAGAGGGAACACTGATCCAATCTCACATGAAATGGTAACAATCTAATGGTCCAAACTGCAATTAGACTTTTTAACAGTGTCTGTGCCTGCAGTCCTAGGGGAAGACTAAGTCCCCCCAATTAAGAAACATGCTTTGAACATAAGTAAGGGCCCTAAGGAAATAGTGGGGAAGTAAGTCTTGGACACAGAGCTTTAGAATTCAGAAGCAGGTTTTGGGGTAACTTTTCAGTGCTCTCTCTGATGAAATGTATAGCATCCGTAATTCTCTCAACATCCCTAGGGGGCATTTTTAAAAGAAAGGTGACACAGTAGCTACTAAGGGGAAAAGTGAGCTAGAGGCTTAAGGCTGCACCTACAGGAGTGAGGCAACCCTCTTGAGTGGGCGAGATGTCGCTCGGGCAGAAGGGCAGCCACTTCTTCGCCTCCCTCCCAAACATTTCTCCTTGGGTGAAATTACTGGTATTCTCCGAGCGCAGAGTCGGTATCTGGCTCAAGCAAACAGGCAGCGGTGGGTGTGGCCAGTTGGATGTCGACGGGAGCTCTCGGCTGCTGCTGCTGGTGCCGCCACCACAGAAAACAGACAGGCGGGAGAGCAACGGCAACAAACACCCTTCCAGCAACGGATTGAAGTGTATTGTTTATGCATCACAAGGTCAAGTCGAGAACTACAGGAGGGCGGACCCGGCTCCTCTTCTTCCTGTGTAAAACTGTGCAAAGTTCTTTCTCTCTTTGCGTAAAAGCAGTCCCCTTCTTAGTAGTTGGGAAAGAGAATTGCAGGAATCGAAACAAACCAGTTTCATGGGACAAGAGGGGGGAGGGGGGATATTTCTTAACCTCCATCTCTCTCTCTCTCCTCCCTCTTGGCGCGGCTACCGAAAAGGAGCAAGTGTTTCACGCCAGCCTGTTCGCGGCCAGAAAGAGGTCTGGGGGATGATTGGAATTAAAACGAGTCCATGTAGTTCCCCCCCAAGGTGGTGGCATTTCAAATCCCACCCTCATCGCCCTTTCCTCCTGAGGGGGGTAACCAAATAACTTTGTGACCCACAGGACACAATTGTGATCGCGATGGTTTCTCCCCTCCCGCCACTTTGTCCCCTCCCGCCCTCACCTCTTGTGCACTTCTAGTTAATGCAACCCCCCCCCCCCCCATTCCCTGCGGGGCTTTTGCTGCGAGGTTCTTCCCTGCTGAAGGGTTTTTTTAAAAAAAATCCTCCCCGCCTTGCACCTCATCTGTTATTTGCAAGAAACGTCTTTTTGACGCAGGAAGAAATGGCAAATTTGAAGTACGTCATTAATATGGCGCCAAAAGATTTTGTTAAGTATAAGCTTATTTTTTGTAAGGTTGCAGCAGCAGGCTAGTGTACGCCTGTGCATAGCTCTGATGAGGTGGAGGGGTGTGTGTGTGATAGAGAGAGAAGGGGAGGAAGCGAAGAAAGTGTTGCAGCTCTGTGATCTGTGTGTGTGTGCACTGCCGCCGCTGTTGTATGTGTGCGAGGCTGAAGATCATTGCGAAAGTGACCTGATCAGGCTTGGAGAGGGAGACGAGAGCGAGGGAAAAGAGGGAGAGCGCGTCAGTGTGTGCAACCCGACCCCTTTCCAGCTGCCCAGGGCACAAGAGAAAAGAGATGGGGACTCAGCGCATCGGAGGGAGGTGAAGAAGAGGGAGGGGTGGGCGAGGAGTGCGTTTGGGGTGGGAGGCAACACATGCCTAACACAATCAGGGATGGGACCCACGTCTGCCGCTGCTCGCGCTGCACCTGGACCTGCTGCTCGTCAGGAAGAAACAACAAGCAAGAAAAGAAGAAATTGAGGGGAGGGGGGGCTGAGGGGGTGGTGGGGGCAGGCAGAGGAAGAAATCGCCAGCATCATCCTAATTCACATACTCCCTTGAAGAAGTCTTTTCTTCGCCAGCAGGGGAGAAAAAAAGGGGGCCAGCCGTAGAATTTCGGGCAATCTGCAGAGATCCGAAAAGTCTGGATTTTTTTAAAAAAAAGAAACAGAAACACGCACGCAGGGCTTGTTGGATTTTGCACCGAGCGGCCATCTCAGCTGGAAGCAATTCTTTCGGGGTTTTTTTGTTGTTGTTGTTGCATCCATGGAGTTACTTTGTATCTAATCCTAAAAAGGAGGGGGTAATCATTTTCGGATCCTTCGGGAGAGGGAATGGTTCGCCCCCTTCACAATGGTCCCGGATTAATCTTTGCAAAGGGATATTCTATGAACGGTCACATTTCTGGAGCATCACCCCCCACACCTCTCTTGTAACCCCAGGACATTCTCAACTCTTGGAGGACGCTCTCTCCCAGCCAAGGTAAAAGGGTGGAGAATTGCTCCATTTTTTTGCAGCTTCTGTTGATTTTCCCCTCCCCTTCTTGCATTTGTTTTAGTGCTTCCTAAGTGAGCTGCTTGCAGAGGACAAAGGGGGACCGGGGGGGGGGGGGAGTGTGCAGCGTTTTTAGACATAGATTGCGCATGTTGGTCAGTCGTTTTAAAAGGGAGGCGGCAGGAATGTAAACAACAACTTTTTCAAGGATCGGGAGCTTCTGGAAACGGTTTCCTCGAATTAATGACTGCGGCAGAGCATGCTCCGAAAGGTCGCTAAGAAAGAGGGATGGGTGAGAAAGGGGTCAAGAGGCACAATTTGTTGGGGGGAGAGGATGATCCAGAAGGGAGGGGGGGGGGAAAGGTTGGGGAATGATACGGACCCGGAAGGGGTGGAGGGTTAAAAGTGTTTGTGTGTCCGCGCGGGTAGGCTATGTAATACGTATGTGTATACAAAAGGGGATAGAGCAGCAATTAAAAGAGGCACGAGTTTCATTTTTGTTGATACGCAGCACGTTTTGGAGCCTTTGCCTTTTCTTGAAGCTGGTGCACCCACATGATCCGCTCCTCTCACGTGCTGAGGTTGTGGGGTCCCTGCCAGCTTCTGCAACAGACACAAACAATGCGCCCAGGAGGCAGGCAGAGGAGAAGCGGCAGCGCCGCCTTTTGCGAGGGTGGGCGAGCCCCGCTGGGCTTTGAATAGCACCAGCTTTCTGGGGCGCCGATGGCTTTTGCAGCCGCGTTGCAACGGCGTGCGAGGGCGGGTGGGTGGCGGCGTGGGGGTGGGGAGGGCGAGAGTCACGCCGCTGGGGGCATGGAGCGGTTTGGGAATGGAAATGTACAGGCAACGGCTGCCACTGAGCTGCGCGGTGGGGCTGAGGACTGTAGGGGGCGTGGCTGTTGTTTACCTTCCGAAACTCCCCCGGCTCCCTACGGGCTCCTCCGGGGGCGTCTCATCTTCTCCTCCATCTCTGCCGCTGAATCACTCCCGCCTCGCCACCCTCCCCCCAGTCTCGCTCGCCACCCGCGGGCTCTTTTTTCCTCCCCTCCCGGAGGCGCTCTGTTTCCCTCCTGCTCGCTTTGCCTGCCTGCTCGCTTCTCTGCATTCCCTCACAGGCTTTGCTTGTGGTAGGCATTTCTTCTCCAAGCGACTCATCATGTTTTCCCCGCCGCTTCTCTCGCAGCCCTTCTCCACCCTCCCTTTTAGCTGATCTTTAAGAGCCCTCTTATCCAGGGCCTTTTTTTCCCCCTGAAGAGAAAACGATGATGATCCCGGGTCGCTCAAGCCCGCCTGCAAGTCGCATTTTCTCTTCTGAAAGCACTCCCCCCCCAGCCAGTCATTCCAGAAGTGTGTGGGCTGACTGGTTTGCACGCCGGTGAGGAAAAGGTACTTTCCACATGCTGAAGCCTCAAGGCCTTTTCTGTATTACTCTTTGGTCTGTGACCGAACAGCTTCTAACCCCCTGCTTTAAACTACAGGTGCCAGTTAGGTTTTCTAGTGGATGTCCCCAAAACTGGCATTCTTAATGGGGGAGATGCCTGTTCAGCTTTCAGAACTGTTAGCTTCCTAAGTGAATAAAATAATGACATATAGATTGGGAGCCACAAAATGCACACAATGAACATCCTTCCTCCACACAACATATACCTTCCTCATGCTCTCTTTGAACCACAAGGAAAAGTGGGATATAAATATTTTAATAAATACAATTTTTTTCTCCCAAAGGATCAGATAAAGTCTGGATGGAGTTTTGTTATAGAGTACTTTTTAAAAACTTACTTGTATTTCCCTCCGGCTGATTGCTCAGACTGCCTGTGTTCTTCCCTTTGACTTGGAAAAAAAAACCCCCCCCCCCCCCCCAGCCTTTCAGGCTTGTAATGCTTATTACACTTGATTCTTGTGGCGCATGACAACTTCCCAACACTGCCTTTTGCCCATTTTTAATACCACCTGAGATGTTCTGCATGTGTGCATTGCGTTGCTACTGTGCTTCACTGGGACTTTCTGACATTTATTTGGAGCACTCCTGTGTTGTTACAGTGCATCCAGACATACCTCTGCTAAGTACCCCTCCCCTCCCCTCCCCTGCTCTCTGTCCCTTTCTTTCTCCCACATGCACACGCACTGCCTGACACTGTTAGACTTTATCTTGGTCTTGTTTATTCTCTACAACGGGGGTGTCGAACTCATTTGTTATAAGAGCTGGATCTGACATAAATGAGACCTTGTTGGGCCGGGCCATGTGTATCATAAAAGGTAATGCCAGGTAGCAGAGATATAAACTTTATAAAGGACAGAGACCAACACAATTCAAGATTTTTTAAACTTTAAATAATACATTTCCAGTGCGTTTGACACCCCTGCTCTACAACCTACTTCTAGTCTTTCAGTCTAGTCTTGTGAGGTATATGCTCAGATACCCATGTTTTTAGCTCTTGTTAGTCCCCACACCAGTACCCATTTGGATCTGTCGTATTCTTGTAAGACTAATGCTCCGTGCTCATTGCTTTCTCTGTGTCCTTTTAAAGCCTGATTTTGCCTTAGTCTCTGGTCCACTCTTCTTATGCAGAGTATACTTCACAACTGTAGATATCTTCCTGTCTGTCTTTGCTTGTGTATCTGTGCTTCTCAGGAAAAGACTGGAAGGTTTCTTTAAATTGCTTGGCAAATGGTTGGGAGCCTCCCAGCTGGAACATAATTTAATCTGTTATCCTTTGCCTTTCACCCTTACAACTTTAAACATTTCTTACAGGCAAAATGTACATCTTTGGTGGTACAGCTAAAGCATTTTTTATTTTAGGAGCTGACTTTATATTTAATTGCCTTCTTGGATGGCGGTGAATCCGTTTGGCAGCATACCCTTTAGAAGGAGATGTAGTCAAAGTGTGAATGGAGTTGGGAAGGTGGGAATGGACTTGCTGATTGTACAAAGCAGCTGAAGTTCAGATAGAGCTGTGTACCTAGAACCTTAAGTGCCTTGAACCTATAATTCCCTCAACTGTCATTAAATGTAATGCAGTAATTTTGTAAATTTACATTGAAAAAATACCAGACAAAACTTTACGGGTGAGTCTTTGGTTCCAGACTGGGCAGCAGTTTCATAGGGGTTAAGAAATCCTGCCCTGCCCTGGATAGCCTGGGCTGGCCCAATCTTGGCAGATCTTGAAAAGTAAGCAGGGCTGGCCCTGGCTAGTATTTGGATGGGAGGTCGTCCAGGGTCCTAATGTGGAGGCAGGCAATGGCTGGCAAACCACCTCTGAACATCTCTTGCCTTGAAAGCCCTGTGGGGCCGCCATGAGTCAGCTGTGACTTGAGGGCACTTTCCACCACACCACCAAGAAACCCAGACAATAAAAACAGCGTTTGACCTTTAAACAGTTGCTGGCCAATGAAGCCGAAACATTTCAGGCTGAATGAGAAATAGTTTATAGAAAGTTAAATTTGCTGTTCTGCAGGAAAGTTTAAACTGGGTTTTGGCAGTCAAGGCTGTTGCTGCAGGGTAGGAAGGTTATCCCTTGTAAACTTATCCCTTGTTTATAGAAACTGATTTTACTTAATCAGATTTTCTCTAGGGTTGTTGCCTACCTTTGCAGGCTTACTTTAGAACAGCCACATTATGGTGATCAGATATACAGAGCTTTTGTCATTTTAATTTTGTGTAGGAAAAGGAGTTGGGGCACTTTTTAGCATGCATTGATAAGAAAAGCTACACCTGCTGGAATTCCCTTGATGACATTGTTACTGAAAACAGGATCTTGTCCTCTTCTGACACTAGATCTTATTCTGAAGTTGCTTCAGTGACTGGTCCCACCTTCCCCACTTGAGTGAAACCTGACCACTGTTACCTTGTTTCTAAGTCCATTGAAGACAGTGGGCTCTGTTACTCATTGGCAGTAGCCTTCACTTTTTCTGAATTTTTTAGTCTGCACACGCATTCTCTGTTTAGAGCAGAAATTGAAATCCTTCTAGAAAAGAAAGGTGGGAAGTTGGAAGTTTAAAGCTTGGTTTAGGAATAGTAATCAAAAGCATACCAGACAGCTGCTTTTGAGTTTTGCCTGTTATGGATCAACTTCGGACAGGGTTGCACAAATGCTTTGGAGAAGCAAGGCCATGGTGAAGCAAGGCTTTTGTGTGAACTCTGCCCTAGGGGCACCTGGCTTTTGTGTGAACTCTGTCAAAAGTTGTGCATCCAGGTAGATGACATTTATTTTGCTCCCATTGCAATTGGAAGTGACTTGGAAAATCACTTACAGTCATTTAGTTGTTTCTTTGCTAGTCAGTTTAGGACTCCAAAGTCAGGTCTTTGAGAATACTCAGAGGCCTTCTCGGGCTACTCCACAGGTTTCCAAGTGGAATTGTTGGATTCTGTATATTATGTAGCTCTTTTTCTTTGTTGCCTTTTATACATTGCTATGTTGGGGATGCCCATGTATCTTCCCCTATATCTAGATTAATATCTTCAGTTATCACTGGCATGTCTGGACTTGTTTCTAAGTAAGCAAAGAGTAAAAAAATTAAGAGTCAGAAATGGAAAGTAGAGTCATAAATAAATGAATTCCTTCTAGATATGGGGAAAATGCAAAGCAGGCAACGGTGAACAGGGCCAAGTTTTGTTTTAAATTTCACTGTGCAAGCTCTTGATATGTGGTCAGTGTAGGGGGGGCAGGAATTAGATATGACAGTTCCTCTTTCTGTGTTACAAAAGAACAAATGTTCCATTCACCTCCCTTCTCCATATTATGTAATGTGCGAAGGTATTCTTTGAGAGGCGTTATAAATCTGTAGATATAAAATAACAATTTTTAGTCTGCCCTCTCTAATTTTTAAGTCATGGAGGAATATAATGCAATTATATTTTCATGATCTGTGGAACCATGAGGTCTAGTTTCTTATTTTTTACATAACAGGAAATAATTAAGTAGTTTTATTAGGGTGACTCCTTTCCCTTCTCGTATGCCTTATGTCCTCCAGCAGAGGGCCTGCTGTTCAGCTTGAAAACTATTGCAGGTTTCCCAAAGAAGAAAATGGAATGGAAAGCAGTTTAAATAGTTAGATATGTGGAAATATTCATTATAGCTTTGTATCTTAATTGTAACAAGGACAGACCAAAAATAATAAATGCAGAGTCAATTCCAGCCATTAAATTAAATATTTATTGAATGTTGCAAAGGGAAGTTTATTTTTTATTGGTCATGGCTTACTTATTTCTCCCAGGTCCACTATCTTAGATTCACTTTACCTGGTTCCCCAACTTAATACTAAGAAGAGTTAGTAAAATGCTTTTGGAAGGTT